ATTCTTAGTTCTGATCATTCATAAGATTGACAGATATTGTTAAAACTGCACTGTAGTTTTTATATTATAGTTATTGTATGTAGTTTTTGAGTTCAACTTGAAAGTAGTTGTGAATCTAGCTATTAGGTTTCATTTTGGTTTTTTCGTCAACTGATTTTATAGTATGGTAGAAAAACTGGAGATTAGAAAATCTATAATAAGTAGTTTCTACACCAGTTTATGATAACTGATCATTATTAATAGTTGTAAAAACATCACAGATTAAAACTAGGTTTTTAGATACATTTTGTATAGTTTTTGTATAGGAAATAGAAGATTGACCCATTAAAATCACATACCTCTTAGGTTCCTGACGTAACAAAAATGAACATTTCAATTATTACAATTTCATTATAATATGAAAACTCCAGCTGATCATTATCATCACATAGCAAGTTGGTGTATTTCGTTAAAATTAAACTTTTGGTTCAGAAAACAAAATAGATATTAGTTCAGTAAATGTTTCTGAAAAATTTTCTCAAGTTTATTGATGTTTTATAGAACTTTAAAAACAAAAAGGTAATATAAGTAATATTTATATTCTTTTTATATAGTTTTGTTTTTCAGAATATTTTTATGAGAACAGTTCTTGTTTCATAAAAATAATTTAACATTTGATTAATATTAATATTTTTAGTACACTTAAAAATTATTTAAAATTGCATAAATTGTAACAAAAAAAGCGATTAAATTTATTAAAATCTATTTTGGAGAGAAACGACCATCCTTTTAGTTAGTTGGGTTTGCTCTTGTTAAAATGAAAATGTACAATATAGTATTTAAGGATGGTGAAATGGAATGCTCATCCTGTACTTCAACATTTCTCAGCTGGTGGCAGATTTGAAGTAGACGAGCGATCTGGTGAGGTCAGAACTCGAGGAAAAGAGCCATTCATGTTGGACAAAGAATATGTCTTATATGTGAAAGCAGAAGATCGCAATGGAAAAGTAAACAAGCATGAATACCAGTCCACCTCAGAAATGAGACTGTCCATCATGGGAGGCAAACGTGCTCCTCAATTCTATATGGAGAAATATGAAACTAATATTCCAGAGAACCAGAGAAAAGATTCAGAGTGAGTAAAAATATAAATAAAATGATTGTTGCAATTAATAATAGTTATTAGTGATTAGTATTGAATTTTGTATTTTTTCACAATTTGTGTACACATTGGTTATTATTTATAAAAATATAGACACTGGAGTTTTTCCAAGAATTCTCTTTTAGAAACATAAATTTGAATTGAAATTTTTCTTTAAGAAAATACTTATAATAGGTTAGAATGTTGAAAATATTACTATTATTATGAAAAGCTGTGTATATGAACTGTTGTCAGGAATACTTTTAATTTGTTTACAACTAAAGTAGATAATTTCAAAGAAGTAAAAAAAAAGGTTTTTGACTTATGTAATTGGGATTGTGGTAACTTATGAATGTGTAGAATGCTATAACAACTAAAAGAAATGTCATTTGGAAGAAGGGTAGGTAAAAACTGTAAGATCAGGTCTTAAACTTAACAGACTGGAACTTTGTGACAACATCTAATTAGAAATTAAGCTTAAGCGTAATGTTTAACTTTTAATGTATGGTGCAACATTTGTGATTTAATTTCAAAATAAAAGCTGGAAGTTAGACAATTTCTCTTACAGTGTTATCGAGGTAAAAGCTAAGTCATTTGCCGACCGACAGATTCGATATACTTTACGTGCTAAAGGGTCTGGAGCAGGAACTTTTAACATTGAACCTAGTGTTGGTATTGTCAAATTGGCTAAAGATCTAGATTATGAAGATCTTCGTCAGCCAAAAAAATACTCCTTGGTGGTCACAGCAACAGAAGACTCTGGAGGATTTTCAACATCTGTTGATGTAAGTAGAAAGCTCATTCTCTAATATAGGTGTCAAAAGAGGATTTCTCAAAAATCTTATTCATTTTGAATGAAGAATAGTTTTTTAAAAATTGAAGAAATTATATTCTTGTTGTGATCATTCTATTAGATATTTTCACCAATCTTATAACTCTATTTTTGATTCTTAACTTCATTTCAAACCAACTTTACTTTCTACTTATTACTTTTGGTTTAAATGTACAACTCCCTCTTACTCCCTTTTCATCTTAAGCTTAGTGATATAGATCAAGGATTTGTTTTTTCAAGATTCGTAGGGAAGGCTTAAAAATTGCATGAAAGAACAACCATTAAATTTGTCTTTTTTAAAGTAAAACAGTTTTAAAAATTTAAAACAAGATTTAATCTTAACTCTCCATTTTATTTATCTAGGTTTTATAGTAGGTGTGAATGATTTGTTGGAAATATAAATACATTTACAAATGTTTCTGTTTTGGAATGTCCAACAAAACAATGGTACAGATAGTAGAAAAGCCATGTAGTTTAGAAAAATCAGAAAAAGGGACCTCAAATAATTTTTTCATTTGCATAAAATTATTTTTAAGCATTCATTGTTTGACTGGAGGGCATTTAAAAGTAATTACATATAATGTCCTTCATCTTTTGGATGTGCCTTTGTTCTATCACTTAATCTGTTGTGTATATAAACTAATTATGTATGTTCAATACACTGGGCAGATAAGAATTAATATGTCAGATAATAGAGATTAGATTAGACGTATTGTGGTATTGAGATAAAAGTGGAGGAGAGTGCTTACAAAACGTGCGGACTAAAATATAAAAAAAATTCAATTAAGGATCAAAGCACAATAAAATATTACTATTTACCAACTGGTCTGGCCTATTATTGATCTTACAGTCAAGACAATAACGTATAACATTTCTGGAATGTTAGAATCACTTTGAATCTTAAACTATCCCTTATATGAGAAATTGAAAATCTGATGAGTAGATTAAAGTTTGTTCAAGTTTTCAATTGTTTATGTAATAAATTCCATTTCAGGTCATCGTGCAATAGTCAAATTCAGCACAATTTTATGCAATGAATTATGCATGTACATCTATATTTCTTACTTTTCTGTCTATACAACCATGTTTTTCACAGACCAATTTTCCAATCTACTTCACAATAATAGCATAATACAGCATATACTTTATTTTCATTTTTTAATTTATCAAAAAAGACTGAGTTCTGGTTCGAACAAAAATATCATTCAGAGTCATGAATTTAATACAAGAGTTTCTTTCTGTTCTTGTTTCTTGCATTAGTATAAATTTAGTGAAGGTTTTGGTGAGACTTAATTGAGATTTATTTTTTCTTTTTATAATTTCAGTTAACAATTACAGTTAATGATGTAAATGACAACTCCCCACGCTTCGAGCTGCCTGATTATCAGGCTCATAATATAGATGAGGACATTCCACCTGGAACTTCAATTCTACAAGGTATGAATAATCTGATGTGGTTTTAGAGTAAAGACTTGTGCCCTGTATTGTTAACCTCTGCATTCTATTTTTTACCAGCTACTTTTCTTTCAGCAACATACAGTCTTTTATGATGTAGTCATTCAAACTTAATTTATTTACTGTATTGTATATTTATAGTGCAGTACCGGTTTTTGTGAGACTTTGCTCAATAGTTGGATTGAAATGTATTGAATATGTTGAAGAAAACATAACTGCGTAACTCTTTCTTTGGTTTTATGTTATGATGCTCAGCCTGTAGAGAAGTCATCGATAAAGTGGAGATGGTGTTAGAAGATTTAAAAACAATCAATTTTTATCAGATATGGGAAAACTTACTTGATTTTCTATGTGTGGAATTCAAAGTAATACTGCTTTAATAGTGATGTAACCACAATGAGTACGTGCAAAAATTGTACAAGGACACACACACATCCAAGAAACTTATTTGGGTAGTGGAGTAATCTTGAGAAAATTTAATAGAACTGTGGAAGGTGTTAGCGTGCCTATAAAAGGACAGTAATGAATCTTCGTCTCCTACCCAAATTTTAATTTTATTTGATTTTTGATTTTATCTTTATAGAAATTAGTTAACAATTCTTGTAACTATTATTTCACATA